GGGCCTGCGGGCCACCCCGGTTCGGATCCGCTGGCGCGACGTCGGCGTGTCGGCGATGGGCCCCGGGAAGCGCGTCCTGTCCCAGCGCTGACGGGGGCAGACGGCGCCTGGCACCACGAAGGGGGGGGGAGCGCAGCGACAAGGGACGGCGCTAGCCAAGTTGTTGAGGAAAAAGCAGAAAAGTGTCCTAGCGGGTTGCTGCACGCCTGAAGGGCCAGAAATACTCCCACCCGCACAAGGAAGCATTCCCTCCGCCGCCCCTTTCCCTTGCCCTAGGGGATGCCTGAGTGTTGCTCTCCCGTCCGCAACCAGCCGGCTCTGAGACGCCTGCAACAGCGGCAGCAGTCGGCAGGGGCACCGCCAATCTCCGGGGGGGCGCGTGCGCCGCTACGCATCGCCAATGCGTACGTCCAGCAGCTCAAATAGCAGGGCCGAAAATTTATGCCAGATTTGTGCCAAACATGCACTTTGGTCTGGGGCAAATTGTGCCACGCGGAGCAAACGGACCCTGCCCAGCTCTTCCCGGATCTTCAGCCCTGTATCTGGGGACACCAGCCCCTTGTGCCAGCTGAGCTGCCGCAGCAGCCCGAGCCCAGCGTGCCCTGCACCCTCTACCCACTGCAGCAGTCTGGCAGTGGGGACTGCCTCCTGGCTGTGACCTGCTGCCACCTGCGACGGCATCCGCCCCCTGGGACCTGCAGACCTCAGGTTGCGCGCATAGGCAATGCGTAGGGAGGGCACAGGGGGGCACATGCCCCCCCCCCCCGAAATTGGCCCTCACCAGCTGCAGATTAGGGAGCGCTGGCGGCACGTCCGGTTTGCCACGGGCACTTCCAGGTTGGCAATCGGCTGCTGGGGGATGCCCCCCCCCCGCCCCATCAGCAATTGGCCACTGGTGCCCCCCGCAGAGCTAGGAGGCACCAGTCTCCCATATGGGTGGAATGCACTGTAACAAACCCTTTTATCCGTAACAACCCTTTATCATCCGACTCTTGCAGAAAAACAAGCTACATCAGACCCTTTTCTCTGTAGAAAGCAGGTTCCACAGTAACGTAGCTGCGGTGGATGCTAACACCATGAATGCACCCTAGCCCACTTATTCCAAGACGGGTAGGCCTAAGGGACCATTTCGGTCCTGTCAAGCGTCAAGAGCCTGAACTCTCCACAGTAGGAGCAAAGCTGGAGGTTCCTGGCTAGTGGGTCTTGCTCCTCTGCTCAGGATCAGACCAATTCCCATATTTGGGGTGAGGAAATAATTTTACCCCATGGTCAAATCAGTATGGACTGTGGGGTTTTTGTCTTCCTATGGAGGCAGGGGTGGGGGACGGTGTAGGGGTGGCCAACTTCCTTGGACCCCTTCAATATATACTCGCAACGTTTCATGGAAGGACATTGGCTGCTGTGTTTCCCCTGCTTTACCTGTGGCAGGTTAGGATGTCAGGTCTATGGTGTATCAGGATTACGGGTTGTTTTATGTAGTTGAAATTATGGTTGTCTGGGATGGTTTGGATAGGGCTGATCCTGCCTCAGGGAAGCAGGGTGGACTAGATGGCCTTTGGAGGTCCCTTCCAGTCTTACTTCTCTAGGGTTGTGTATACACGTGTGCTTTAATGTGCACTAGCTTATTCTACTGCACATTAAAGCAGCACATAAAAAATCATGCTCGTTTGCTAATGCATGGTAGAATAGGCTACTTCACATTGTCACCTAAAAAGCATGCGCTTGCACTACGACACATTAGTGCAGCCTAATGTGCATTTATTACCTCATATTGGAGGTACTAAATTTAATGCACATTAGGAAAAATGCATTAATGCACATGTAGACATGCCCTATGATTCTATGACTCACTAGAGCACTAATATTGGGAGGCAGTTGCCTCACTGGAAAATGATGTAGCACCAGAAGTACTGCTCTAGTACTTGGTGTTGGCGTTGCCATCCTCACTGAGTGTTATCGATATGTTTTCAGCGCTGAATTCTCTGCAGCTGTGGTTCTGTCAAAAAGTCATAACCAGGAGATCCGAACACCAATCTTGTCTTAAAGAACTGGCAAAGGTTTGGGCAAGTTTATTGTCTAATAGCTATGGCCCAAACAGCTGTGATTTGACAGACATAATATTATTGCATGTATGCCTTCGACAAGCTATCAGTACAACATCATGTAGGCACCCTAGGCCAATACATAGATCTCATGCTTTCTAATTATCCTTTTATACAGTGATCCGGACAAATTCCTTATTACATTCCACAAATATCTTGAATATCTTGAGCCATCTTTTGCTATGGGCTTGTTTCACATCTTGATCTGGGTGTTCTGTGCCAACCTGAGACTGGACTATTCTCCACTTTGTACAGCCATCTCCCCCTTCCCTCTCCAGGCAGGGGTGTTCATCTGGCTGACATGTCAAGCTCTGCTTTTATAAGGAACTCGTGCATTGGACAATTTCGCTGAACAGACCTACTTCAGCCAATGCTTTTGTGAGTAGTATATATATTGATCAATGTTCCAAGAAGGCCTGGCTGGTTCTTCTTATTTGTCCATTCATCTTTGGGTGATGTGCTGTTTAAAGCTAAGCCCCAAACCACAACAATTACACGACCTTGTGCCCAAACCAGGAGACCAACTGGGATCTAGAGTTGAAGGCTATGCTGCTTCCAAGCCTGTGGATGTGAACTATCGTGTCCAACCACAGTTAGGCATTGTCCTCAGCCGAGGGAAGACTTACACATGGAATGCAGTGCAGGGGGTCATCATGACGCTGGCCACACCAGCCTGCCCAAGGCAGTCAGCCCTGTCTCTCCTGCCACGTCTTGTCGTTTTAAAACTGATATAAAACTATGGGAGGCTGCCCATTAAGTGCCCCAATTCCTGGGGCGTTATACACGGCTCTGACCTCCCCTATATCATGTCCCATGCCTTGCAGATTTAACTCAAAATAATCAAACTTTCTCCGGCTCTCTTGCTGAGCCATACTCCTCGGCCTCTGGCCCAAATTTGGCCTCAGGAGTCCATAGACTTACCTTGGCCATTATGCCCCTTCACTGGCGCCTAAACCTATGTTGTCTCACTAGGGCTTCTGCTCATCCTTTCACTCTTGGGGCTGGCCTGTGCACAGTCCTTCAGGCCACACCTGCAACCCTACCCTGCACACCCTTGTGCAGCCCTTCAGGCCCACCTACTTGAACCCTACTTTGCATGCACGTGTGCAGTCCTTCAAGCCATCCCTGTGACCCTACTCTGCACAGCCACCACTATCCATGCTATGCCCCCTCACTGGGGCCACTCCTCCACCTGCGCACTGGGGTCTCAGTGCCTTATGCCCCTCGGGTCCCAGGCCTGATGATAATGCCTGGACTCAGGCCTGTCCCTGTTCTGGGGTTATCCACCAGGTGGTGGGAGGGGGCTGGAGCTATAAGGCACCCCATACTTGCCTTTCACTAGGGAGGCAACTGGTGTGGCATTTCCTGGGGACCACCCTGCCACAGGCACCCCCCCCCACACTATCCATCCCTAGCAGGGTTAGTTTTAGGTCATGCCCCAGGACCAGGAACCTTCTGCCATCCCCATAATTCCTGCCCTGTACCTCCAAGGTGTTCTGTGAGCAGCAGCCCCAACCAGGCAATGTTTCCCTCTGGCTCCTTGTAGCAACTGCTGGCTCCCCTGCCCAGGCCCGCTCTTATTGCTAACAGCTGAGCCCTCTTCCCAATCAGGCAGCCTTCTGTTAGCCATGTGACACCTGATTGAGGACAGCAGCCACCTGCAGGCTGCTCTGCTGCTTGATCTAAGCCCTAAAAGTGACAGACACCAAAGGTGCTCTGCCACACACTGCACCGTCTTAGTCAATCTGTCACCATTCAGATGGTAGCGAACCCACTCAATTGGGGAAGATCCATAATAAAGTCCTTCAAAATAGTGGACATGGGCCAAGAGGGAGAGGAAAGGGGCTAGAAAGGGAGTTCTGAGTGGGCTTCATCATGTTAGTACAAATGTGCAAAGTGTTCACATGTACTTTGCACAAATGTACAAAGAGCAGATGAACACTTGCATGGTCTTTCCCAGGTGTAGCCACCAAAGTATCAGGTGATTAGTCAATAGGTTTTCTCCAGGGTGGCCTGCTAACAGGGAGTCCTAGCATAAACCTAGTACCACGGGTCTGGCTGGACCTGGGGGGGATGTAAATCTTACCCTGAGTAAAGAGAACCCCATCCTGGATTTGAGGCAGTGGTTAGATGAAGGCAGCCTACTCTTCAAGAGGGATTCTCTCCCAGGTGGTGGCACAGACATTGGCAAGACGATATGAGGATGTCACATGGCTCCAAAATGGAGCTAGGTTCCAATGGTCCCTGTGCCATGTTAGCATCATATTCTGTTTTCCCATTTTTACATGATCTGAAAATTGAAGTGGGACAAGAAAACGGCCCATCACGGCAAAGCTGCCTCTGGTTGAGTGCCTTGGCTATAATGTAAATGTAATGTGTGTAACAGGAGTATGGGGCATTCTATACAGCTGTAAGTATTGTTGTTGCCTGTTATTATTAATACACTCCAGTGGTTTCCAGTATTAGTCTGCTCATTTGTTTTTGCGGTGCAGTAGTGCTGGGCTGCAGGCAAACACCCTGCTTAGAATCACCCACCACTGCAAAGCTCCTTTCCCTGGGCTGGGTTCTGAGAGTGATGCCCTCATTTACTTAATTAAAAGTCCAGCCTTTAAGACCCCTGGCTCCCTGCACTTGGGAGGGAGCTCCTGTTAATGCAGCTTGGTGTGTTGGCAGCCTCCAATCACTATAAGCTTGTTGCTCTTCAGGTCTCTCCACTCCCAATTCTTTACAGCACCCCTGGCTCCTTCTGCACTCTGCCCCAACTGTATTCCCTTCCCACCCCCAGCTAGACATGGTGCCCTGCTCACCTCCAGGCTCTCCCACTGCTTTGGAGGCCTGCTCTGCCCCTTCTGCACTTGGTCTGGCTCAGGTATCAAGGAGCTCCTCTCCTCCGGTCTCTCTGGGTAAGTCCTCTGCAGCTCCACATTTACAGGACCTTCCTCAGCAGGCTGCTGCTCAGCTCTACGCACGTTCCCAGCACCTACGGGTGGGGAAGAGAGTGCATAGGGTAGCCCTGGTGCTGCTAGCACGGGGAAAGCCCTGTTTGTCTCCTGGACTGGCCTGGGCAAACAGAGGTTTCAGTGCAAGGGAGGCAAGGTTCTTTGAGTTGATGTGATATCTTTTATTAAACCAACTGAGTAGTTGGAAAAAAGCTCTTAGCAAGCTTTCAGGCACAATTTCTCTTCTTCAAGCATACGGAGTCTGTTGGTCACTGGAAGAGGGGAGCAAAGGTAGACTTAAAATCCCGCAGCTCTTCCTAATAGACTTCCATAGGCACAAAGATAAGAGATGAGGACCAATAACTCTGTCCCAGTGTCGGGTAGTGATCACACCACGTAAGAGACTGCAGAGACACCACTCCCTGGGAAAGAAGTGCAAGGGATGTTGGTACTGTGTGCATCTACATGTGAAGAGAAGGGGGAGGGAAAGTGCAAGGTCAGTCTTCTCCAGGGACTTCTAGGGGCACTGGGAGAACAAGAACCATTGATCTGTTGGAGCACTGACTCAATCAAAGCGTTCTGACAGAGACATTTCTACACTGAGAGATGGTGCCTCCTGATGCTAGAAAGGGTAGAGCCAGTACTCCTTACCTGCTCCTGGAGAAGGTATTTGTTTGGAGCACCAGCCTGAGGTGGTATTGTCTGCTAACCACTCCCAGGTCTCCTCTGTTTGGGGGGAATCTGCAGCACAGAGCCCTGGGGTAACTGTACCTGAACCAGACAGATGTCGCTGGGGAGTCTCATTTCCTCGTCACCTGCACCAGCCCCTTACTGGGCACAGAGGGCTCACAGAGGCATCAGAAAGGAACCAGTGAACACTGACTGTTGGAACACGAATTAGGTCATTGATTCTTATTGTGACAGTACGGCAAGGGTCAAGATATAGCCTCTTCCTACTGGGTGCCGCAAACGTGCAGTGAGACAGATGAGGGGCCTCAGTCTGGGAGCTGCCCACCCACAGAGATCACAGCTCTGTCCCAGCCTGGCCACAAGGTTACAAAGATTGCAGCCCTGTCCCAGGCAAGGGCAGACATTTGAGCCTCTCCCCCTGCATGCAGGACAGGCACTCAGACACCCAGACCCACACCCAAGCCTCCATCCTGTACCTCACCTGACTCTTGGTGGGGCAGGGGCTCCTCTCTGGGTACACGAGATGGCTTCTCCCAAGGCCCTGGGGTTTCCCTCTGTCCTGCCTCCTCTAGAGGCCTGTCTGCACAACAGACCTTTGGCTGCTCTGGCCAGAAATTACTAAGGCTCCAACAATGCACCCATGGGCTGCACCTTGTCTGAGGATACCTCCTTGACATGCATACTCATAGATTACAATGTGCTGCATTTCACCCATATTCTTTCCCCACCCTTCCACAGAAGAGGCAGGACCTGTCACAGGCTGCACCTCCTTTACCCCTAGTACGGCATTTAACCCAGAAAAGAGACTCTATTTCCTCCTAGCCAGAGGTTCATTCAAAGGGCAGGGTCCTTGTTGCACAGCAGGACATGGGGTAATGCCTCAAGGGTGACCAGCTCCTGCTCCTGAAGGTGAGCAACAACCCTGGAATTGAGGTGAATCCTCTGGAAAGGGAAGGAGCTGGAAATAACAGAGAGAGCTTCCATGGTCTGTTCCCAATTCACAGCTCTGGAGAGGACAGAGAGACCAACCACAAGGATACCATGTTAAGTTGTGGGGCCGGAGTAACAAGGAATCTGTCACCAAGCTGGGGGAGTAGCAGAAATGTTGGAAGATAGGGTGAGGATTCAACGTGACCTCAACAAATTGGAGGATTGGGCCGAAAGAAATCTCATGAGGTTCAACAAGAACAAGGGCAGAGTCCTGCACTTAGAACAGAACAATCCCATGCACCGGTGCAGGCTGGGCTGACTGGCTGGGCAGCAGCTCTACAGAAAAGGACCTGGGGGTGACAGGGGACAAGAAACTGAATATGAACCAGCAGCGTGCCCTGGTTGTCAAGAAGGTTAACAGCATCCTGGGCTGCACTGGTGGGTGTGTTGCCAGTAGATCATTTATTCTCCTCTGTTCAGCACTGGTGAGGCCACATCTGGAGTACTGTGTTCAGTTTTGGGCCCCCTGCTGCAGAAAGGATGTGGGCAAATTGGAGAGAGTCCAGCGGCAGGCAACAAAAAGGGTGAGGGCGCTGGGGCACATGAATTGTGAGGACAGCCTGAAGGAACTGGGTTTATTTAGTCTGGAAAAAAGGAGACTGAGAGGGGACTTAATAGCAGCCTTCAACTACCTGAAGGGGGGTTCAAAAGAGGATGGAGCCAGACTGTTCTCAGTGAGGGTAGATGACTGAACAAGGAGCAATGGTCTCAATTTGCAGGAAGAGAAATTTAGGTTAAATGTTAGGAAGAACTTCTCTCACTACAAGGGTATTAAAACAGTGGAACAGGTTACCCAGAGAGGTTGTGCAATCTCCATCCTTGGCTGGGATAATCTAGTTGGGGACGGTTCAACTTGGAGCAGGCAGTAGGACTAGATGAATTCTGGAGGCCCCTTACACCCCTAATTTTCTACAAGTCTATGAACGAGAAGAGGGGGCAGCTGGCACCTGGTGGCGCAAAGCTCTGACAAGAGGCTGAGAAGCAAACTCCGCCAAACTGGGCTCACGGGGTGGCAGAAGCAGCTTCTTGCAGACTCCGATAGGAATATGCAGGCCTGGGAGAGGGGTGATGTGCTGGGAAGGAAAGGCAAGGTCAGGGTTGCTTAGAGCAAGGAATGCTTCCCCAGACATCAGTGTCCTCCTTCCTGCAACTCAAGAGCCTAACATACCAAACCCTGGGACTAGGGAGGACAAAACTAGGATTCGGCCAAAGAGAGTCCCTAGATGTCATTAGGAGCCACTTGCAGAAGGCATCCTATTGTAAAGGTAATTCTTCTCCCCCTGGGAGCACTGGCTGCTTTAAGAGAATGATGGGGATGGCACAGGCTCCAAGGCTGATGTGAAGATCATCTTGTCACAGGTTCCCCCAGCATCTGGGCTGGCCCCTGCATGAGGAGTTTCCTTTTCACCCCTCTGCCTCAGCAAACCTTGGACGTCAGCCTGTCTCCTTTCGGATTTGCAGCGACCTAGAAACGCTGAACAAAGGGTGAGCTGTTGCTGCATTGCACCAGCATCACACTGCTTCCCTGTATGCAGACACTGGTGGGTGCTGAGCAGGTATACATCCCCAAATCCTTCCTGTATTGCTCGCAAAACTATGGATGCTCATGAATAGGGGTGCACTGGTGAAAGGCCAATTCGGAGGAGTGAAGGAAGCACTTCCCACACTCTGAGCACTGATGTGGTTTCTTCTCTCTGTGGATGAGCTGGTGCCGAGCCAGGTGGGAGGATTGGGTGAAGCTCCTCCCACACTCCAAGCACTGATGTGGCTTCTCCCCTGTGTGGATACGCTGGTGCCGAGCCAGGCTGGAGAAATGAGTGAAGCTCTTCCCACACTCCAAGCACTGATATGGCTTCTCCCCTGTGTGGATACGCTGGTGCTGGGCCAGGTTGGAGGAATGAGTGAAGCTCTTCCCACACTCTGAGCACTGATATGGCTTCTCCCCTGTGTGGATGAGTTGGTGCTGGGCCAGGGAGAAGGAGCAGGTGAAGCTCTTCCCACACTCCAAGCACTGAAGTGGCTTCTCCCCTGTGCGGATACGCTGATGATGAGCCAGGCTGGAGGAATGAGCAAAGCTCTTCCCACACTCTGAGCACTGATATGGCTTCTCCCCTGTGTGGATACGCTGGTGCTGAGCCAGGCTGGAGGAGTGAATGAAGCTCTTCCCACACTCTGAGCACTGATATGGCTTCTCCCCTGTGTGGATACGCTGGTGCTGAGCCAGGCTGGAGGAGTGAATGAAGCTCTTCCCACACTCTGAGCACTGATATGGCTTCTCCCCTGTGTGGATGAGCTGGTGTTGGGCCAAGCTGGAGAAGCAGGTGAAGCTCTTTCCACACTCTGAGCATCGATGTAGCTTCTCCCCTGTGTGAATACGCTGGTGCTGAGCCAGGCTGGAGGAGTGAATGAAGCTCTTCCCACACTCCAAGCATTGATATAGCTTCTCCCTGGTATGGATACGCTGGTGCTGAGCCAGCCTGGAGGAGTAAGTGAAGCTCTTCCCACACTCCAAGCACTGATGTGGCTTCTCCCCTGTGTGGATGAGCTGGTGCTGGGCCAAGCTGGAGAAGCAGGTAAAGCTCTTCCCACACTCCAAGCAACGATGTGGTTTCTCTCCTGTGTGGATACGCTGGTGCTGAAACAGGCTGCCAGAGTGAGCAAAGCTCTTCCCACACTCCATGCATCGATATGGTTTCTCCCCTGTGTGGATACGCTGGTGCTGAGCCAGCGTGGAAAACTGAGTAAAGCTCTTCCCACACTCTGAGCACTGATATGGCTTCTCCCCGGTGTGGATGCGTTGGTGCTGAGCCAGTCTGCAGGAGTGAGGGAAGCTCTTCCCACACTCCAAGCACTGATGTGGCTTTTCTGCCATGTGGATGAGTCGATGTTTGGCCAGGTTGGAGGACTGGTTGAAGCTCTTCCCACACTCCAAGCATCGATGTGGCTTCTCCCCTGTGTGGATACATTGGTGCTGAGCCAGCCTGGAGGAGTGAGTGAAGCTCTTCCCACACTCCAAGCAATGATGTGGCTTCTCCCCTGTGTGAATGAGTTGGTGCCGGGCCAGGCTGGAGGACCAGGTGAAGCTCTTCCCACATTCTGAGCATTGATATGGCTTCTCCCCTGTGTGGATAAGCTGGTGCTGGGCCAAGGTGGAGGAGCAGGTGTAGCTCTTCCCACATTCTGAGCACAGATGCAGTTTCTCCCCTGTGTGGATACGCTGGTGCTCAGCCAGCCTGGAGGAGTAAGTGGACTCTTCCCACACTCTGTGCACTGATGTGGCTTCTCCCCTGTGTGGATATGCTTGTGCTGAGCCAGCCTGGAGGAGCAAGTGAAGCTCTTCCCACACTCTGAGCACCGATGAGGCTTTTCCCCTGTATGGATACGCTGGTGCTGGGCCAGGGTGGAGGAGCAGGTGAAGCTTTTCCCACATTGTGAGCACTGATGTGGCTTCTCCCCTGTGTGGATGCGCTGGTGCTGAGCCAACCTGGAGGAGTAAGTGAAGCTCTTCCCACACACTGAGCACCGATGTGGCTTTTCTGCCACGTGAATGAGTCGGTGTTTGGCCAAGTTGGAGGACTGGGTGAAGCTTTTCCCACACTTCAAGAACTGATGTGGCTTCTCCCTTGCATGCATGCACCAGTGCCTGACAAAGCTGGAGGAATGCCTGAACCTCTTCACACGCTTGGTGCAGCAGTGTGGCTGCTCCCCGGTCTGCACACACTGGTGCTGGGACAGATCTTGCCAGCAGATGAAGTTCTTCTTGCACTCAGTGCAGCAGTGCGTCTTCCTCCCCAGGTGGATGCAGTGGTGCTGAGACAGGGAGAAGAAATGGGTGAAGACCTCGCCACACTTGACACAGCAGTGCTCATGCTTCCCCCTCTGCCCATGTACATAGTTAACCAGGTCTGTGGAGTGAACAAAGCTTTTTCCCCATTTGGTGAAGCTGCAGGGGAGCTCTCCAGAAAGGGATTGAGAGTGAACAGCCAGGGTGGAAAGGCAGGAGCTCTTCCCACATTTGGTGCATACGTGGGGCTTCTCCCCAGTATAGCTTATCTTGTGCAGAGCCAGGAGGGACGGGCAGTTAAAAGTTTTTCTGACCTTGGGCCAGGAGTGGGTTCTGCTCCTGTACTTGGCAGTTAGCTCCTGCTTCCCTTTGACGTCCCTCCCAATGCCTTGGCTGGGATGCAGTGCATCTTTCCAGCGGCTCTTTAGGTCTCTCAGCTCCACAAACTGTTCCCTGCACCCAGGGCTCTGTTCCTTCTCCACTCTTATACTCAACTGGAGCTGGTACCTGGTTCATCGTTCCATTCTCCTTCTGCTTTCGGGGCCTTCCCTGATTCTTGTGCCACTGCTTCTCAGGTCTCAGGGAGTCCATCTTGCCCAAACTCCCTAGGGAAGTCTGTCCTGGCTCCAGGTCTGCTGGCCCTCCCGCAGGAGGCTGCTCCTTAGCTCTGCACAGCTGCCAAGCACCTTCTGTATAGGGAAGAGAAACACCAGATTAGTGCCCACCCTGTTTGCAAAGGGCAAACACTGCTATTCCTACTGCTGGGATGGACCTCAGAGCAGGCCTGGACCTTGGCACTTGTGTTCCCTCAAGAAGACAAGGTCTTCCTACCAAAACCCCAAGTGCTGGGGTGAGGGAGGGGCAGGTCCCTGTATTGGGCTAAGGTTCCCTACTCGGTGGAGTTCAGAGTAGGATTCTCAATGGTTTCTGGCCCCGCTGGCAGCACCCATCACCTCAGGCCCTCTAGGAGAAGCACATGTGGGACATGTGCAGTAAGACAGTACCTGAATGGTTTCATGCTCTAATGGGCTGAGTAGGATGGGAGGACTTTGAGCTGCAGCTCTCTCTTCTGAAAGGAGCAGGGCTGTGCTTCCTGCCTGCTTCCAGGGCCAGGTCTGGTGTAGAGAATGAGTCCATGGAGCTTCCCTTTGCTGACGGGTCCCAGGTAGACTCCATGTCACAGGAGTCTGCACTGGCTTTAAGGCCTTGGCATGAACCCGAACCTGGACTCTGTGCTGAGTCTCAGCTCGTAACACTCAAGGCTCCAGAGAGGAAATGGGAAGGAGTAGTTCTGGTGCAAGCCATGGGGGAATCACTTCCACCCACAATGTGAAAGCCTCTGAATCCCACCCGTGCCATGAAGCCCTTTAATGCAGCCTGAGACCATGATGAAACACTTCCTGGGTTCCAGGTCAACCTGACCAGGGGAAGCCATGGAAAGCATCAGCTTTTTTGCCCCACAGTAACAGCTGCTCGGAACCTCTGCATACCACGCTGATTTCCATGGGGGACTACAAATCCCATCATGCCCTGGGAGAGCCTGTTACAGAGGTATTGCTACCTTGGGCTGGGGAATGAACTCTTATATTGCTGAGTGAAGATGAAACTAGAAGAACACGGTATCCCAGGGAAACCATATCTGGGCCAATAAATCAAGACAGCACACCTGACTACCCCCTGACATCTGTCATTAGAGCTGACATCTGTCATTAGAGGGAGAAGGGAACAGTTGCTTGTCTCCACATCCTTGAATTTCACCAACTGGGAACAACACATGTCTAGGCACGCTATAGCATAACATACTGTATTCGATGTCAGCACCCTGTATGGCAGCACAGAGCAGGTCTACAGTTTCCAGGTCCCCCCAGCATGCTTGGCAAGAGCATTACTTAGAGCAGAGTCGGGTGGATGGGACAGCCACAACTCACCTGACAGCAGGTCCTCGGACCTTGAGATTTCCCCACCGCCCTCATCATCAGAGATCCAGAGCTCCGCTTGTCCTTGCTGGATGCTGCAGATCAAGTCAGGTGTAGGACCTTGATATCCTGTTTAGGGCAGTGGTTAAACAGGGTTAGTGACTGGGTACTAGATGCAGAATAACCAAGTGGGATTTGGGGAACAGATCCAAGGAACTCAAGGTTTCTAATAGGGCCTTGATGGACAAGAGAGGATAGGCATTTAGAATGAAAGAGAAGGCACTATGGAGAGAAGCCTTCAAGAGACCATGGTCCTTGTCACCAAGGTGGTGCAGGGATGGGCATAGGGAACCAAGCCCCAGACACACTCTGGTACAGACAGGGCATTAAACTGACAGTCTTCAGGGATCGGCATCAAGATGCACTGATCCATGACGTAGGACGGAGCAGAAAGATAAAACTTTTACTGTTTGCAAGGTACAAAAAAGAAGACACATTGGACACACTTGTGGATGGATAACATTTGTTTTATCGGTGTAATTCCCGGCAAAGGAGTGGTCATGAGCCTATTTTCAGTGAAGATTTAAAGAGCGGGTCTGTGGCAATGAAAAGCATCAGTAACAGGTGGCTGAAAGCAAGATTTTTTTTTTTCTGGGAAAGGAGGTAATTCACCATCACCAGGGCACAGGAAAGGATGATTTTATTATAATAACTGTATTTACAGTTGAAGTAGTCATGCCATCCAATCAGAGGATCATCCCAGGAGGGGCATGAGTACATAAGTTGGCAAATACTGCAGGGTTCAATACAGTTCCTGGGGCTCATGGAGACGGACAAAAGAAGGCAGAAGGAGACATCTCACAGCATGTGAAAGGGCATAATTTAGAAATGGTCTACATCCACTTTGTTGAACTAGGGAAGGCATTTGAGCACTTCCCTAAGAAAATCGTTTGGGAGGCAATGGAGGGAAAGCATCAGAAAAGCAAACTGACCCAGTAAAAATTAATATGTACTTCAACCCTGCTCACAAGCCAGAACAAGCGCCTGTATTAGATATTTTCTGGAAATGAAAACTGGTTTTCACTAGTACCTGCACCTAGGCCCACTTAGTCTTATTACAGTGATAAGTGTCTGATCTGCAGAGGGATTTTAGGAAGAGGAGAGGAAATCTTTTGAGAGTGGCAGAGCCAGCCTGAGAGCACAGGTCTTAACGTAAATACAGCAAAGCCAGACTCTCTGGTGTATGCAGGTGAAGATCGGAAGGTGTGAGCGTGTTGGGTAATAGCTTTGTCTCCTTTCTGTACTCGCCTGCCACGACTTGGATTTAATAAGAAAAGGAAGGAGATCAGTGAACTGTTAATGTTAGTGATCAATAAATATCACCCAGATGTTACACGCTCAGATTGTAGGTTTATTTTCAAAGTAATACATAAAAAGGCAATAACCTTGCCAATTACTTCATTGGTGAGAGCAATTAGGTTTGAAGGAGAGAAAAACCCCAAGCTGAAACTTTTAAATATACATTATTTTTAACCTAATCTTCACTGCTAATTGCCTTATTAGCAGAACGTAGTCTCCATGTCTTTCATTCCCCGCCCGTGGCTCCTGTTGGGAGCGGCTCCCTGCTGCTCCCACACAGTTCTTACTATTTGCTAAATAACCGTTGTCCCGGCAGGGTCAGGGACTTATCTGTGACCCTGTTTCCCCGTGTATCATCCCAGAGATGCCATCTCGGACTTGGCTCCCAGCCGAACTGTTTCCCGCCACCTCGGTGTCTCTCCGCACTCAAAGCAGCACGATCCTTAGTAACAACGTCCGTCTGGATCTGACCTGTTGTGTCCCCAGGAAGTCCAGCACTCCCAACAACCTTCTAAGTCACAGGTAAGATTTCTTTACCTCTCTTATCTCTGTAGGGTCTCAGTTACCCCTGTGTTCATCTTCTTGTGCCCAAAGGCAATCAGTAAAAGTCCCACTGATGGTTTTATCTCCGGTTTTCGAGGGCTCCCAGATGTGAAATCCTCTCCACCTGGCAGGGTGCATTCAGAGGTCACTCCTCCTGGAGCTAGCCTAAGTAATAGGGCTCCTGCCTGAGTCCCTGTTACAGAAGGAATGGGGACAGAAACTTCCAATGACCCCTTGCTAGGAGTACCTGGGTTACATCAAGTGTGCATGTCACTACAGGAAGAGTTGAGGAAACGCATCATCCACGTGCTGTAGCACGAGTGGCCAATAAGACTTCCATCAACTTCTGCTGGGTCGTAACCAAAGGAAGAGAAAAGGGAATTTAGATATCCCAGAACTGAGCATGCTGGGATTGCTAAATGTGTTTGGAGAGGACAAGCTAGGCAAAAGAGGGAAGAAATCAGAATAATTTTTTCCCAAAGAAAAGCTCTTATTGTATGTCTGAGTAGAAAATAGTGACCAAACGCTCAGCCCACATGCCAGACCAATGCAGAACACGAGAGCAGGTCATGTTCAGCGTGTGAAGAGCTCATGATCACGAGGCTGACCAGCTCGTGATCAGATAGCCTTAACAAATCAGGAGCTGCAGGAGAAGCGTGACTGCCTGGCCAACAGACATACTCTCTTAACTGTAAATCAGCAGCCTCCTCTGATTGGCTGAAGAGTTTATAAAAGGGGCAGCGCGTTAAAGCGCAGGGTCCCGGGTTCCACACAGGCCCTTGGATAGGACTGATCACCCTGTCCAGGAATCCGTGTCCCCATGGCCGAATAGTCATATGAATACTCACACTCTGGCTATAATTTCACCCAATAGTGAGCTCTCCATCCGCACGTACATCGGAAAAAGCAATTGCTATCTCCTACCTGTCATCTTTAACTACTGCTTCACCACTGTCGTTTTGTTGTGTAACCACTGTTGAAATCTTACCGTAAGTAAACGTTAAGTTCAATTTTACTATCTTCCAACTGAGTCAGTGTCCCTTTCATCCCCGGCCTGTCCATAAGGCGGGATGGTCATCCACCCGCCC